CAAATGGAACCAGGAATGTGGGTTTCTCTCTCCTAAAGTAATAAAGTAATCCTAACCTGTAATGGACCAAGCCCAAGGCCCAAAGCTGCCAATTGCCAAGTTTTACAAGAGAAGAGAAAAGAAGGAAAAGGGGGGGTTCAAGGCTGTCAAGTGTTACCGCAGTCACAGCACAAAAGCAAGGGAGGAGGTGGCACATGAAGACAAAAACAATTAAGAGCTGAAGGTAGCAGTGCAGCAGCAAGTAGTGGAACCATGGCAAGTAGTGGAACCATGGCAAGCAGCATTGGTAGAGTATAGACAAGAGTAGTAGTAACAGCTACTTGTGTACCTTCTTTTATATAAATTAAGTGGAGAGGATTTAGTGAATGTTATGTGAGTAGACTATTTGAAATTGAGACCTGTATTCTAAAGATACTATCTTGGAGATTAACAGACTCAAGCTACTTAGCTATTTCAGTCTATTTTGTGCGTTTGTTCTTTGTTCTTGTTTGACAGTCCTTTTGGTGAGGGTGTAGTCTATTACATAACCATTGCAAGGTCAGGCGGTGTTTTCTTAATAAAATTATCTTACACATTGGTTATTGATGCCTTAAAACAAAGTAAAGATATATCTGGGGACTTCTTTATAAATTTAGCCTTTGGTGACTCACCTTTTTTCACCAATTAGGAACTTTACCTACTTTTCCAGCTAAATATAATAAAAAGCATAATAAAAGTTAGTCCCTTGAGTTGACCAAAAAGTAAGTCCCTTAACACAATTATTATTTGGTAATCGACACAAGGTAGTTTACCAAAACTCCTTAAGCAATGAATAATCAATAGGAAATTTTGAAATGAATAATCCCACCTTTGCTCGATCGGCTCAAAACGAGCCCACCTTTGCCCTCTATTTTCTCAAAATAAGCCTTTTTACCTATGACCTATTGAGCAGGTCCTTTTATTTTTTTTTTACAAATCTTTCTCCTCCACTTCACCACCTTCTTCCCACCTGCATTCCCTGTCACCACCAACACTACCATCCCCCACTCCTTACCGCATCCAAAGCCGCCACACCACCTTCGTAGCAACTATACACCATCAACCTCAATTAATCACAGCACCTTTCACACCCACAAACCACCTGATGCACTCTACCACCACCACCACCGAACCGCACACACCACCTCTGCTAACACCGCAAGCCAGCCGCAATAATAATCACACCTAATAACACCAACAGCGCCGCAAGTAAGTCACTTGCAAGCAATTTACGAACCCCCGAATCACCAATTTGACGCACAAGCAGCGGCAATTAGCAATTAATACTCGAATTGCATGGATTCTTTGGGTGGGGCTTTTGAGTGGTGGAGGTAAAGTTAAGGGGAGTGTTGGTGGGTTTTTGGGGTGAGTTTGGGAGACGAGGCAGTGAGATGGGGGTGGGTAAAGGTTTCTACAGGTGGGTTTCAGACTTTCAGGGTGAATGAAGGTGGTTGTCGTTGGGGGGAGGACAGGGGCAGCAGGCGGAGCGGGGAGAGGAGGCAGGGGCAGTGGTGGCAGCTGGAGGGGGGATGGCCGGTAATGTCAGTGGTTGGGATTGGAAGAGGAGAGATAAAAGTTTTTTTTTTAAATTATTTTCATTTATTTTCTAAAATTGGACCAATTAGAAGGTGACATGTGGCGGTCACCTTCTAAATCCTGTTTCTAACTTAAAAAAAGGTCAAGGGCTTGTTTTGAGAAAATAGAAGGCAAAGGTGGGCTCGTTCCCAGAATACGCAAAGATGGGCTCGTTTTGAGCAGATCGAGCAAAGGTGGGATTATTTATTTCAATTTTTCCTAATCAATAATGGGAACCACTCCATAAAAAAGTCTCAAATTCAAAGTAAAATAAACGAAAGGTTATTCAATAACTACCAAAACTTGTAGCCACTACAGTGAGTGTATATCTCAACTGTAAGAGCTCACAGCAAAATTGTGAGTCTGTGCTTCGACTAGATAATATTTTATTTGGGATTAAACTAAACCTCTATAGACACATATATCATATGAGAAAATAAAACGTTCTTAAATTATATAATGTAGTGTTTGGGTGAAGTGAGCATCAATCTCTTATTTGGCCTTATTTAACCAACAACTTCAAAATTCTTGGACAGGGATCTAGGGGGATATGAATTTTGGCAACAGCTTTCTCACACAGATTGACGAAACTTTCAATTGTTCACGACACTCGAGTTGGTAATACAACATAAACCAACTTATTCTGCTGGTTGATGGTGAGATTGCAGAGAGATTGCCTGTTGTCTTTTGCAGCTTTAGCGCGGGCTGTGTGCTCTTTTTGAAATGCTCTTGTGCACAACAACCCTTGGAAGAATAGAGATACTGGAGAGCTTGGTTCTTTTGCGGCTGGTGGGATAGTATAAGAAGTACAATTATGCAGTATCACAAAGACCAGGTCAGCAGGCGTATATCGTCGTTTGTCGAAATGGGTGGCATCGTCCCAATGCTGGGAAGGTACGTATCAATAAGGCTGCTGCAATGTAGTGGCATGGGTGCTGGTTTGGGGGCTGTTATACGTGGGTCGGACGGAGAGGTATTTGCAGTGGCTGTGCATAGGGTAAATATGAGAGTACAGTTCTCAATGCTGAAGCTCCTGCTGCAAGAATGGGGATGCTCCGCTGCTGTTGGCCTGCCAACTCGGGTTTGAGAATGTTGAGCTAGAATGCGATGCGTTAGAAGTTGTTAAAGCCATCTGCTCAAGAAAGAAGGGGAGATCTCTGATTAATCTGATTTTTGAGGACATTTACTTAATTGTTTATTCCTTTGTTTCTTTTTCCTGTAACCATGTCAAAAGAGGTGGTAATGCTGAGGCACATCTTGTTGCTAGTAAGTTCCTGAGGGTGAGGCTAAGCAAGTTTTTCTGAATTCTTTCGCACATGGTGTTTTAACACTTACAAACCTTGATGTAATTAAGCTTGCTTTAATATTTATTTCCCCACTTTCTTTCAAAAAAAAACATTCTCGACACTACCATCAACAAGAAAATTTAACAGCTATTATTACACTAATACACTCTTCCTCATCCTAAATTCACATATAAATGGAATCATCACCTAAAAATTACCAAATTCTGATAACTAAACAATCAATTGTATTCCCACAAATACTCCAAAGCATTAAACAGAAATCCACAATAAAAATAAATAAATAAGTAAAAACTGCTCATCCAATCAAAACATCTAATTAAGCAAGCAAAATCAAATGTAAAATCACACATGAAAAACAATTCATCCAACAAAAATCCAAAATAAGCAAGCAAAATTCAATGAAATTTTTTCTAAAAACTCACCACCAAAGTCTTCAGAAATCCAGTGTTAGAATTAAAGGAAACAACATCACCCTCCATTCCCAAAATACGTTTCGTCAAAGTTCGTCTAGGGTTTTGCGGAGATTTAACAAGGACAATATCTCCAAGCTCCAAATTCCCAATTCGATGCGAAAATTTATCAACCAATAACACATCTCCTCGAATATTCAAAGTTGGAAGCATGCTCGGACCATATACCTGTGAATCAAAACTACACAATTTTCAGAAATAGTATCGAAAATTGATTAATGTGGAAGAAAATTAAGAAGAAAAAGTGAGAGAAAATTACGATTGTGGGAGAGAAGATGTAAGTTTCTGTGATATGAAAGAGACTGAGGAATTTAGCGATGATTATGGTGCGGTTCACTGCTTCTTTGGCTATGCTCCGCCATTGCCGAAGCTTCGACGCGAACATTGTGAATAGTGAGTGTGCTGTCCTGTTGCACCAACTGAGGGTGGAGAGAGGAGACTGGATTGTGTGACTAGAAGTTTTTAAACTCAACTGCTATTTGTCGCTCCCATTTTACCACGTAACGCTCCCTTTTTGACTTGAATGGACCACTATACCCTTTATGCAATTTGTGTTATAAAAAGGACCTTGTTCCCTATTTGGATACAATACATGAAACGGTTCCCTCACTTCACGACATTGTTGTCCCGAGCCTCCCAAAATCGGTCCCCACGACCTTGCAACCAAATCGGTCCCCACGACCACCTAAATTTTCTATTTTAAAAAATCGTGATATTTTCCGACGGGTCTTGGGTCATGGACGGCGAATGGAACATACGTACGCCGGAGAATGCGTCGGATCATTCTGTAAGTTTTTTTTTATTTTCGGTAATTAGGACATCCGCCTAAAATTTCCGGATGTACCATGGAACATCCGGAAATTTCAAGCGGAAGATGGGATCCGCCTAAAAAATCCGGATGTTCCATGGTACATCCGGAAATTTTAGGCGGATGTACCAAGGGACATCCGGAAATTTTAGGCGGATGTCCCTATTCATTTTTTTTTGTTTAAATGTTAAGTACGTTTATTTAATTTTTTTTATGTTAATTAAGTTTTTTTTTATGTATTTTTTTTTCTGGTCTTGTGATTATTGTTGTGATTTAGTATTTGATAATTAATGTAATTTTGTTGTATTAATATGATTATTAGTAATATGTTTATTTTTTGTTACATTATTATTATTATTTATATTATTATTATTATTATTGAAAATATTATTATTATTATTATTATTATTATTATTATTATTATTATTATCGTAGTTGTAGTTGTTGTTGTTAATATTATTGTTGTTGTTGTAGTTGATATTATTATTGTTGTTGTTGCTGTTATTTTTATTGTTGTTGTTGTTAATATTGTTATTATTAATTAGTAGAAATATTATTATTATTATTATTATTATTATTATTATTATTTATTAATTAATTAATGTTATGGTCTTATAAATTGTTTTGTAGTTGTTGTTATAATTTTTTATTATCATTAATATTGTTATTGTTTTGTATTTGTTGTTATTATTATTAGTATTGTTATTAGTATTGTTATTATTATTATTATTATTAGTATTGTTATTATTATTATTATTATTATTATTGTTTTTATTATTATTATTTTGACATAAACCATGTTTTGTTTAATTTGTATAGGATATGGAATCTGAGGAAGGCGGTGACGGTGTGAATTATAGTGGGAATTTTGTCACCGATACGTTTTTTCCTACATTTGACGATGCAGTTACATGGGCTGATGGTGTTTCCATAAAATTGGGATTTATATTTGCGATGTGATCGATCACGAAGGAGCAAGCCGAGAGATTTGGAGAACGCGATACGGAGGGACACCAAAACCAAAGCTAATGGTTGTCCATTCTACATCAAGATATATTATGATGTCAGCACCGAAAGTTGGAAGATCATTGCGAAAAATGATCACACCGGGACACATAACCACCCAATGATTGTGTACCTAGAGGGTCACCGTAAAGTGAGCGGATTGAGTCCAGGTGCAAAACAGGTTGTGCGGGACATGACAAAGTCCAAGGTTTCTCCCCGTAACATCATGTCCACTATTGCCAAGCAATTTCCTGATGATCATCCAAACATCCGACACATTTACAATTGCCGAAATGACTTCAGGATGGAGATGTCCGAAGGAAGAGGAGTTGTTCAGCAATTTCTTCATCTGGCGAGAGAGAGTAAATACATTTACTGGGTCACGAATGATGATCACAGCGTTTTGCAACATGCATTTATGGTGCACCCGATCATGGTCAACATACTCCGCACATACCCACATGTCATAGGTATGGATTCTACTTACCAAGACCAATCGATATAACATGCCTTTCTTTGAGATAGTAGGCGTGACACCGACAAATCAGAATTTTCTAATTGGATATGTTTTCATACGCGACGAGTGCACGGCCCGAGTCCATTGTCATATCGGTAATCGCATCATACAAATTCGTAATGACTTGGAGGCATCAAGGTCTAAAATTGGTCAAATGTACAGACAGTTGCCACTGTCACATATAAATGGCAAAGTGTCTCAACATTGCTTGAAAGTTCTGGATAAGGAGACGAAAAGGATGCGGGATTTGAGTTACCAGGTCCATGAACGGTGTGGATGTGCTATGCGTGTGACCCATGGTCTTCCATGTGCTTGCCAGATACATGATTCGATAGTTGCACAGACAGGATTGTATAGCAGCCAAATTCATTCTTTCTGGAAGATACTGGTTATTGGTGATGGTGTTAACATTCCTGAAGTGGTAAATGATTCGACCGAGGAGGCTGCACATTTTCGGTCCCTAATCGACGAAGTCATGGAAAGTGACCCGGTCGTACGTCGAAATGTAACGCGAATCATTGAAGAGGAGCTACATCCAGATCATTCACACCTTGAAGAACCACATATCAACCTTAACACTCGTGGTCGACCGAGGAGAAATAACACCAGGCGTGATCGTAGTTATTTCGAGCATGTGAACCGTCAACACACTCAACGTGGTGGTGACCCAGAACCAGGTAATACTAAAATTCTATATTTAATATAAAAATATGTAAACTTAATACTTGTAGCTTTACTAATAATTTATCTTTTAATTTTGTGTTGTAGATCCAAGTGACATAAGTCAATGCAGGTATTTGAACTTGCTTCCAGCCCCAATGTTGTCGTAGATTTCGTCTTGGAAGGATGTCATTGGTGATGGGAACTGTGGCTTTCGTTGTGTCGCCGACTTCTTCTTTGGCGATCAAAATCAGTGGTTTGACGCTCGGGAAACAATAGCGAACGAGATCGCTGGTCATCCTGATTTGTACGAACGGATTTACGGGCTTGGGCAACTTTGGATGAACGTGTAGCGTATTCGATGGGATGGTGGGGCTGTCGGGGAGCGGCATTGGATGGTTACAATTCAAGATTTATTCCCTATTGCTACGTGGTTCAACGCAAGGGTGATTTGTCTCGGAGTGGCCTAGTACCAACTTTCTACTACCCATGCATCACAGTCTTACCGCTGAGGGCACGCAACGGGGTTCGGTCACCGACTCGAGAGTTTGTGATTGCTACAGTTGGTGGATCACATTTCATCCGTCTTGACCTTGTACCTGATTCACCACTCCCGCCGATCGCCGATTGGTGGACGGAACACCACGAGGATAGTGTCAATGGATGGGATCAAGCATATCAATTGAGAAGGGACATGTGGGATGCATTAGTTAGGTAGTTTGTAATGTACATTCACTAACTTTGAACATTTGTAAGAAAATTAAAATTATGAAATTAATTTTAAATGTATTTGCTTTTAATCTAACATGATATGCAACAAAACATCAAATATAAAAAAAAATAAGTGTCCAGTTTATACATTACATTTGAAAAAAATAAAAATAAGTTCATAACATAATTAAAACCACTAACAGAACATCTAATCAAAATAATCTAAAGTCCCATTTCTGACTTCCAATCAAATACAAGCTGCTCAGTCATTGTTCGAGTCTCACTCGACATTTCAGGATACTCAGCCAGTGCTCTTTGGTGAATCTCCATGGACCGACCCATCCACTACAAATCAAACAATAACATATTATAAACACAAAAATTCATAGAAGTCATTGTTAATATAATAATAAGCATAAATACTTACGTAATCAGTGTTAGTCCGCTCAGGCAGGTTGCTTGTAACTCCTTCACCTGGAGATACCCGCGGGTGAGAAAACCTGTACAGCCACTGCATGTAACCAGGCGCAACCGAAGGAGCTGCAACACTAAGCCTAGGTAGGGCACCTAAAACAACACTCTGAGATACCTCAGAGACAAACCTCTTCCACATCACAGCTGTCATCTCAGTCGGGAAGTCTACCCGATACATCTTCAAGTTAGTCGGCCTCTTGGCCTTCTCTGGCCTGATGATCTCGCGGGGAATGCCTTGCACGAAACCAAGCTGGCGCACCACTCTATCAGGCATGTACGGCTCAATGATGTTACGGTACTGGATGCAGCCAATGAATAAAGTGGGGGGCACTCGTAATGCAGGATCAGCTCCGTACGGTAGCCAGTTCACCTCACGGTCAGTAAGCGCATCAATCCTAGTACAAAAAGCTAACAGGCGCTCCAGGTTCTTGCTAAGACATCTCGCTCCAACATCCCAAGCAGACGCACGAGGCATTTGAAGGTCCTGGGTCAAGGTACCCTGCTGTGGCCGAAAGCACGGAAAGTACTCGTAAATCTACGCTTGCAGAAGCGTGAGAAATCAGCAATCAAATCAGCACCTTTCCTGATGTCGTGCCCAGTTGCCGATACAAGTAGGCCAGTGCAGCTGTTCCCCAAGCATACTCGTTAATAGGGACATCCGTGTGACATATCTCGTAGAGGAAGGAAGGATGCGTACGGTTACCACTCTTGTCTACAAACAGTGTACCTCCAAGCACTAACCACAAGTATCCATCAAGCTTCTCACTAAAATCCCGGCCAACCGCCAATGTCGACTCAAAAATCTTATCAGTCAACACCCCACTACCCTGCCAAATGGTCTTTGTGCCGCAAACCTTAGACAGATCATCTGGAGTCATATCCATGGTGATCGAGCACGCGTCCCGTAACACGTCCGTGCTAGGAGTAGTGGTCACCATATTTCCTGCAACCCGTAACCCAAGTATGTTGTACACGTCGTGCAGCAAGATCGTAATCTCCCCAAATGGCATGTGAAAGGTGTTCGTATCTGGCTGCCACCTCTCAACAAAAGCAGAAATCAACGGCCAATCAAGTCTCTTAAACATCAGGCCGGGCAAGTGAGACAACCAACTAGCATCAATCGCCGCAAGGTCCTCCACAGATTGACGACCTCGCCAAGTGAACAAGTCAGAACATAACTTTGTCCTACTCAAACAGCGCGAAACACTACGCTCCTGCTCCATCCAGATATACCGTGCCACGTGACCGCCAAAACTAGGGATAACTGACCCATCCTCAGGCCCACCCGGCACCGGTTCCTGCACTAACCATGCCTCTGCAGAGCTGGAAGTAGGCTGACTCGATCCACTACCAAAAAATCTCCCAAACTGACCCCTATATACCATATGGAAATCCAGAGGGTCCTGTTCTTTATCCCGGTCACCAGCATGACTAGCCGAACATTCGTCTTCCTCGTCAGATATGGGTGCTCCACTTGCAGAGTACAAGGGCCGACTACTACCAGACTGTTGGTCTCTCGACCAACCACTAGTAGACCCGTATTGCTGCTGCTCGGGCTGAAGCGGTGCAGATCGAGATGTCTGTCTCCTAACAGACGCATTCAGACGTCGTGATATTGCATGTCGAGCACCAGAACCCTCGATCTACATAAAATAAGAAAATAATCCGATTTTAGTAATAATAATAATAATAATAATAATAATAATAATAATACTAATAATAATAATAATCATAATAATAATAATAATCATAATAACAACAATAACAACAAATAAACTTAACAACAACAACAATAACCATAATAACAATAATAATAACAACAACAACAACAAATACAAATTAACAACAACAAATAAACTTAACAACAACAACAATAACCATAATAACAACAACAACAACAACAACAACAACAACAACAACAACAACAACAACAACAACAACAACAACAACAACAACAACAACAACAAATACAAATTAACAACAACAACAATAACCATAATAACAATAATAATAACACTAATATCAACAACTATAATACTAATCATAATTAAAAATATTAATAATAGTACTACTAATAACAATAATAATAATATTATTATAACAACAACAACAACAACAACAACAACAACAACAACAACAACAACAACAACAACAAAATAAATTAAACAACAACAATAACCATAAAAACCCTAATATCAAATTAGTTTAATAATAATACTAATCATATTTTTAAAAATAATAACACTACAAAGTATGGTAACCATAATAATAACAATAATAATAATAATAATATCAACAATAATAATAACAATAATAATAATAATAACCATAACACTTCAAAATAACAACAAAAATAACAAAATCCAAAAAAAAAAAAAATTACAGCAACAACAATAACCTTAACAATAATAATAAAAACCTAATATCAACAAAATAATAAAAATTATCATATTTTTAAAAATAATAACATTACAAAATATACTAACCACAATAATAACAACAACAATAATAATAATATCAACAATAATAATAACAATAATAATAATAATAATCACCATAACACTTCAAAATAACAAAAAAATAACAAAATCCGAAAAAAAAAATAATTTAAAATTAACAATCAAAATCAACAAAAACATATTATTAACGGGCAAAAAAAAATGGAACTTCCGCCCAAATAATCCGGAAGTTCAATGGAGGATCCGCCTGGAATTTCCGGATCCTCCATGGAACATCCGGATTTTTTGGGCGGAAGTTCCTTGATATGTCTATTTTATATAGTGTTTTACCCCCGTCCCGTGGTCATTATTAGTAGTGTTTTTGGCTCTTTCGGGCCACTTTTATTACTAATATGTGTTTTCTAATGTTTTCGTAGTTTTGGTTAAGTTTTGCAGGGAATTGCACCTTTGGAGCATTTTCCCGGGATTTTTATGAAGCGACTACGAGCATTGGAGGAGCACGACCACTTTTGGAGCCCAAGGCTGGCTAGAGCCATCGAGCCGGTGATTAAGGGCTCGGTTATTTGGATCACGAGACAATTGGACCATGTATTCAAGACCCGAGAGGAAATATGGATTGGGCCGAGAAATCTAGCCCAATCGAAGTCCAAGCCTTGAAGATGAAGACCAGGCCCGATTGGGCAA